GAACCAAAGGGTCGCCGCCTGTACCCACAGGAGATAATTAAGAGAGCGAGAGCTGTGGCGAAGATTTTGGCAAAGATCCATGAAAACTTGGCAAGATACCCTTCAAAAATGAACTCTTATAACTCTGCTTGGAAATGACTTTGAAAATTTTGAAAAACAGATGGGTAATAGAAATTAGAAGGCGCATTCATTGAAAGCGAAAGTGTGTCAAATTTCGAACTTTGGTAATCGGAAAAACTAATTTTCTTTGACGTCATGAAATTTGAAGTTTTAGATATTGGGAGTAGAGTTTTCATTTGAAATTTTCTCCTTTTCTCCTCTAGTTAAATAAAAAATAAAATTCAGTTCGTCTTTCAAGTCAAATTGTGATCAGAATGTCATAGAAATAAATTTGGAGGCTTCCATGAAGATGCAAGACGCAGATTGTCTTACTTTAAAGTTACTCTAGTGCCATTTTTGAGACTTTTTTGAGTTTTCATATATTGGGATAGTAAATATGTAGTTGATGATTTCAAGATTGTATACAAAAGAAAAGTTTATCACGATTTAAGAGTGAAAAACCTCTTCCTATCACCACTTTCCCATTTCCTCAGTCCCAGAATTCTCACTAAAAAGTTTAATCAAAACTTTTTATCACTGAAACTCAAATTCCTCAGTATTCAAAGACTGTGAAAGTCTTCAGTTCATCTTCAATAATTATTTGTAGAAATTGAGCGCAAGATAGAGTTGTTTATTTACCGCACAGGCTTGTACTGAAAAATGCGCCTTTCAGCGCTGATTCCAATTCTCTTTTTCAAATCTTACAAAGTTATTCCCAAGCAGAGTTATAAGAATTTGTTTTCAAAAGGTATTTTACCAAGTTTATCTGGATCTTTGCCAAAATCTTCTCCACAGAGCTCGCGCTCTTAAATATCCCCTGTGGGTACAGACGGCAGGCCTTTGGTTCCTCCTGCACCGCATCCGTTGAAATTACTCATCTTTCTATGTAAAATTGATATTAGGATTTATATATCAAACATTTAGTTTCATTTATTTGATTTTTGATAATTTTTGTTTTAATTAGGTTGAGCCAAATGCAGAGATAATTTTTATTAATCTTTGAACTTAGTTGCTTATCTGGGTCCTTTTCGTCAAACTACGCTTTTCTTGAACTCCTTGTTTGTCTTCGTCCACTGTGTTTCCACGTCGAACTTCTTTCTTTTTGGATCCGCTTGTCTTGATGCAGCTCCATCGTGATTTTGGTTCATAGATGAATTTTCCCAAACATGTCAAACTTGTTATTGAATGAATCATTCGTCATCATTATCGTAGGGGTTCTAATTTTTTCGACTCTACCTGCCTACTCTACTCTACTCTACCTTTCGACTCTGCAATGAATGGTGGAGGAAGGTGAGTGCTTGGCTTGTTAATCCCAGATGGAACGCACACGAAGAATGCACAAGCCCATGACCTTCTGGGTCTACGGAAGCCGGGGAGATTCAGGCACCACGGACCCGAAGGGTGCCCTGAGCGTGAAAAGGTCCAACCTCTTCACGCGCCCGTGCACACACTCCGTGTCCGGCGCTTGCACCTGGATAGGGACCTTACAAATTAGCTCATTCGCACTGCGAATGAGCCAACTTTATTGTTCCTGATACCACACAAAGTTTTGACCTGCGACATGTGAAAGCGAATCTTGGCCCTGCACACGGAACGAGGAGATGAAGATCAGTGTGATGGAAGCAGAGTGCTGGGTTGGGCTATAAGAGTCTCGTTAGAACACACACACCACACTTTGAAGACCTTGTGTAATGCATGATAAAATGCATTCGTCAAAAAGATGCAGAAAAGATGTCTTCGATGATTTAGACAAGAGAGACGAAAAAAAGGAGATGTATCCAGATTGGTCGTGTCAGTGGATTTGTTAGGAAAGATCTAATGTAAGAGGAAGACCTAGGTTGCGATTGCTAGATAGAGCCAAAGCGGACATGAAAAAGCTTCGTATTAATAGCAAACCTTGGACTGAGGGGAATGGAAAATTATACAAGAGCAGCAGACATTCATTACGGGAGAAACGCACGGACGAAAAGATGTGGTCTCAATGTATAGTTTGCGTTGAAGGTTAGCCTTGGAGGGTCTAATTAAAATGATGCTGACTATCTTGTTTATAAAAATACGAGTTTGAACCGTTTGTTGAACGTGAACCACTAATAATAAATATCCTATTCACGAGTGCAGAAAGCACCTTTTTCTTCTAAAATCGAACATCCTCGAAACACCGAAAAATTTCGTTACCAAAGGAACTTCTACCATGCTGCTCCTTACCTGAAAGAATCGTGAGAGAGAAGGAGTATGTCGCGAGGCACTGTGATTCGGCCGAGTACTTGCTTGAAGCATTGAAAAAGGTGCGTCTTGTACTCTGAATTTTTTTAGGATTTTCAAAAATAATCACTTATTTCTTGCGAACGATCTCTCAGCAGGCATGAAAGCAGAGGTGAAATGAGTTTTTTGAGACGTTGGAAATTTTTGTTAGTAGCTTACATGGGTTACAGAATTGTGCAATCAAGTTGTTTTTACATGAAATGATGAAGATAATTTTTGTAATTTTTTGAATATTCGAACTAGATTTGCAAAATTTTTGGGGCATTTACCGCCATGTTAGATTCGTGAGTTTTCAACCCGTGAAATGTTTAGCACTTCAACGCCCTTTGAAAACATGCGCATTCCCACGCCTTCCCCTTCCCGAAAAATATGTCTTCGTTCAAAAAGCTTCCGGCACAGGTATGTAATCTCCACAATGCACATCCCCGTGTACAGTTTGTGGAATTTGTTTATGTATAGAATACGAAAAACGAAAATAGGTCAAATGTGCGAAATGTCGCGCTTCAGGCCTTTTGCAATAAATTTGGTATCTTTCAAGGACTAGCCCCTGCAGATAACATTTACGGTTATATTTCCAAAGGGTTATACAGAGTGCCCCAAAAAATGTATCCACTGTTTGATTGTTAATAACTCTTATTGTGAGGTCTTTCGAGAAGCGGTGAACGCCATTTTGTAGAGCTGGCTTTAACTTAGATTTACAGTATAGAGAGAATCGTCCATCTTTTTCCGTTACTGTAGGATTACGGTAGAAACTTGAGAGAGGGTTCTGGGCCATGAAAGGCCATATTTTGACTCAAGAAGGAATCAAAACACCTGAAAACTTTTACACTAGACCAAGAGTTGCTGATTCCAACTGTAAAGTTCCCAACTTATTATGATGCTTCACTGAAGAGTTATGCGAGGTAAACAGTTGCGGCTATTTTCTCAATGTTCCTAAAAAGTGCGGATACACCGTTAAAACAGCTTCGCAATCTTGAGAATAGTCGAGTATTGAACTCAGCGTCCCTAAAAACCCTATTACACAAGTTTTCACACCATTTTGAAAATTTTTGAAACGGTAGCTTTTTCCACAGTGGCACCATATGTTCCAAGTTTCTACCGTAATCCTACAGTGATGAAGAGCGGTCGGTGATTCGCTCTATATCGTAAATCTAAGCTGAAGCCAGCTCTACAAAACGGCGCTTACCGCTTCTCGAAAGACTTCATAATAAGAGAGTTATTAACAATCAAACAGTGGATACATTTTTTTGGGACACCCTGTAGTATAAAATCGCCTATCCGTGAGGAGCTTAGCTTTGTTCTGGTAAAAACATACCAAATTTTGTTTTCTCGATATCTAGCCATGAAAAAAATCACGAAATAGTGCATACATGTCTCACGTAGAAAATGTACGCGTGAGCATAGTGGGAGTCCCCCGAATTTCTTGGACAGAGATACGACTTTTCAATTTTTGAGGCACTTAAAGCATTTTGAAATTAGGTTCAGACGTCAAATACATCAACTACAAATACATCAAATACAAATCAAATACAACTTATGCAAAAATATCTGGCTTTACCTTGTAGAGCTTGCTTTGCTATATCAAACAGTAACCCATTCACTATCATTCGCTGATCAGCCACAATATTGCATGATAATCGTTGATGCAACATTATTTTCTGAACAATCTATTATATATGTCCCAAAAGTAAATCATTTTAGATAAATCAAGCTTATTCTGTTTTCCTAGGAGACTTGCAGTACCATTCGGTAAAGCAAGTCGTAATGCAAGTAAAGCCACTGAAGCCATTGAAGCCATTGAACGAAATTCTATCATTTAGAAATTGGATCCTTGCGAAGCAAATCCGACTTCATTTCGTAGTAGAAAGGTAGTAGTACTCAAAAATTCTTTTACTGATTTTCTCGGCGCATAGAAAGCGAGAAAAAAAATAGCCCAAAAATTGCAAACTTCCCCTCCCCTCTAGCCCATCCCACATATGTCATTGTATACTATAAGCCTTAGTATCATCTATTCTACGACTAGAAGACTCGTGACCGCATTGCGGACGTTGTCATAACATGTTTGAGTTTATTCTTCCCTGTTTCCAAAGAGTGAATAAAGTGGGCGAGATAAATTACAAGTATAAACCTGCTAAGTATACGATTAAGCTTGTTTAGACAATGTGTGCAAGGCGGTCTCGCGCCTCCTAGTCCTAGAAAGAATGATAAGTATAATATAACCTCAATATTTTAATTCTGTATGCGCCCTTGTCGTGGAGGAATACCAACTTAACTTGGAGTTTCCGAACTATGTGTCTACTGTATAACGACGAAATTGGAGGTCCGTAGGAACCTTGTGGAAGAAAACCCTTTTTTAGATTAGTTGAAAATTTTGATTTTTGGTTTCAAATTTTACTTGGATCACGATTTAAGCGATTTTTTGGTGGGTCACTTTGTAAAACAGCTTGATAAATGGAGTTTACTTATAGGACAACCTTAAAGTATCCCTTCCAGCCAACATCACTGACCTCTCCATCTCAACAGCTCTCAGAACATCGCTATGAGCTACGTGGCCCTCTTCATTTACGATCATTGTGGTCGAATGCCGCCAGATCATTTTGCCTAAACATTTTACGAGTCCCGATTGTGCGTGTGTGTTTATATTAGACGATATCGATGTTACAGAAAAACAACACATGGCTTGCCTCAACTGATATTCGTCCTGATTGTGTGGTCTTCTAGCAATGGCCATCTACGCAGTCTTCGTCTACGTGCTTATATTCCAAATCTATGCGAGTTCTGCAGCTTTTGACGATTACGGTAAACGTAAAATTCGGCTTGATTTTATACTTGTGCTACGGTTTGATCTGGTTTAATTTTACAACTTATTAGAAGTACAAAATCCCATCTTGATCACTGTTGATAAGCACATTGAACTTTAGGCACAAGTATCACTCGTTTGAAGACTAGATATTCAAGGACGCTCTTGCAGATATTGTTCAAAAATTTGAACAAGTTTTTCCACAAATTTCATGTGGTTTTGTCCAAAAGCGCGTTAAGTACAAGTAAGTACTTGTTAATCCGACATCAAAGCGTTCCTGAGTATTCTAGTCATACCTTCGAGTCATTTGTGACTTATTGTGCGCATTGCCCACCATGCTTGCTACTCGACGACTTGTAAGGTTAGAAAATTCACATCTTCAGTGATTTTAGCCATCCTTGTCTCTTTTGATATGATTGGATTTGTATCAGTTACTAGGATACATTTCCATAGTCTGTTATGCTGAAAGATTTTAGTGAGGAGTTGCTAGTAAGGGTGTCGGCGGTTGCCACGCGTAGTGTGCAGGCTCACAGATTAAGTTACAAATGACTCAGCGATAGACTGATTTCAAGCATTTATGTAAACTAATGCTATAATGCCACCTAGGTGGAGTCTTCTATGTCGCCAATACTATGATCACGTTGGTGGTCTGCCAGTATGTTGATAGAGACTTCCGTAGAGGTTAGCATAATAGAAATGTATTCGAACGTTAGCATAAGAACGCTGCCTTCGACCTTTGGGCACTACAAAATCTTATCAACATTGGCCATTTTTGTAATTTTTACGAGTAACAGGTGCTTTGATTCACTCTTATGTTAGAACAACTACAGAGTTTTTTGGAGTAAAGGAGCCCTGAGATCTTGCCCAGTATAGGCTATCTATTAATGGTAATGGGCACGTAGCTAGCTAATAGTGCCGGTCCAAGAGTTCCCCCTCCCCCCGAGAATGGGTGAAAATTTTTGAAGATGTAATTTTTCTTGTGATTCGTCGCTAGATCAATCCATCTCGCCTAAAATTTCGAGATTTTCCGCAAAGAATAACCGTAAAGATTTTTTGAAAGATGCTCCTTTAACTAGGGAACTCTCTTTTGCTTCGCCTCACACAAAAAACTCGGACTTTCATTATTCTTATTCTTGATCGGGAAAAAGAACTATGAAACATCAACAAGTAAGACAACTTCTATCATAGTATGGAAAACGAAAGAACTATTGAATGTTTCTTAGAGCTCAATCTCGATCGACGAGTACAATCGAAACTGCGAAGTCTTTGCTTTTTTTCCCTGCAAGTTTACCAGCTCGGGGAAGGTTTTTCTATCACTCTCGTAGAATTCTGTCCTAACACAAAAAATGGCCATATGCATTATAGCAAAAAACTCTACGGTTGCCTATATAAACATTTACAGGCTGTTCATTGGGATGAAGTTACTTAGACGGTAATTTAGGAACGATTACTCATTTATGGAGTGAAGAATCCAAAATCATTATGTTTTGAAGTTATACTTCAGACGATGAGTCAGAAACGCGAAGATCATCCACTTGCGATTGTCCACGATTAACCTACGGCATCGAATATGAACATGCAGAGATCAAGAAGCCAGCGATGAACAATTGCGAGTATCAGCATTGTGTTTTTGAGGTAACAAATCAACTTTAGACCACTTTACTGAGTGTGTGTAAGACTTTGTACAGATCACCATCACATGCCGTAGGTCACACAATATTAGTGAATCAAATTTGTAGTATATTTCCTCAAAAATAATTAAAGGTGGGTAGTCAAATTTAAGACACCAACTTATGTTCACGAAAATCATAGATCTACCATTTGTCTTAGGCCTAAGGCATACCTCACGCGATTCCAGTCGCTGCGCGATTTAGCACTGCGCGACTCTTCATAACTGGTCGTCAACGCGCTTTCCATGGGTCAGACTTGAAGCTTTTGCTTTAACTTTTACGGAAGCTACGCGCCTATGCATATAGGACCCGCGCACGGTTGATTTGTAAATAGCTGGCAAATTGCCAAGTTGAGTGGTTGTAGCGATTTGACGAAATCGGGCGAGGTATGTCTTAGGCCTTACCGGATTAGTACACAGCTAGCTTCACCTACCCTTCCTTCTGTCACAAACCGGCGGTCGGGCAGGAGGCAGCAAAGGCCTACCGCTTCTGCTTATGGAAATACCTGAGGAGCTTCAGAGTTTCTCGCGCTTCTAATTACTTCCTCGCACCGCTAAGTATCTATCCGACCTATACCCAATTACTGAAATTTTTCAAGTGGTGGTAGATTACGAGACATAGGTTTCATGTTTCATATTCGAAGCGCATGAAATAGTACATTTCAGTAGAGGTTTGTAGAATTAGCCTAATTCAACATCGAAAGCGGTATAAAACTCAGAGTTTTTAGCAGATATGGAAGTTTGACTCGGTCTATCAAATCTTCAAGCCGGAATGTTGAACACATTCTTTTAAATCTTTTTCCTTTTAATAATTTCGATCAAAAACAAGGACTTCAAAGAATTATAGCCAGGTTCTTCATTTTGCGGCAGTCTTATTCCTTTCTACTCCACGATTTCTGAAGGAAACTGCTCTGGGCCCGATATTCTGTAGACTTAACCGATTATAGCTCGGATTGAAACAATTGCATTCTACAAGATTTCCAACTTGGTCTAAAGTAAAATACTCTTCAAGAAGCTTCTTGTCTATTCCTGCTTATAAAGTAATTAAAGGTGCGAAGAATGATTAGAGGCTCGAAAAAGTCTGGAGCTCTCCAGGCACTTCCAGAAGCAAATGCGGCCAGCCTTTGCTGCGTCCTGCCTGACGTTCTCACAAATTTACCATTTTTCCTTTTCTCAGTCCTACTTTTGCATTGATTTTATAATTTTCTGCGATCACTGTATCATATGTGCCAAGATGCACAAATCACTAAGAAGTGGAGTCGTACTTCACTATATACATATCCAGCCTTTGCTCGACTGTTTATAATGGCAAATAGCTTTGTAGCACGCGTCTTTCCCCCAAATATTTTATGAAAAATGCGAGAAAAGGAGAAACATCTTGGAAACCCAAAATTTTTTTGGGAAAGCTATCGAATAAACCTAAGTCAGCAAGCATAAAGTAGTACTTTCCTTATTTCGCGATAGCGTTTGAAAATGTTAACACCAGTCTTGTGGTACACTAAGTCGCGCACACTTTGATCTGCGCCAAGGTGGTAAGATACATAAGCTGCCACTAGTTACCTCATACTTCTATTGATAAGAATTGCCACAAAAAGATGTGAACTTCACGAGTCATATAACTAAAAACGTAAATTTCATAATTTCCATAACTTTATAATTCAGTTTTAATCTGGCCTTTCACTGGTATACTAGACATCCCACCTGCTTCAGATTCAACCAGCAGATAACTCAAGTCTTGCACTGACTGTCGAGTCAGTCCTATTGTCTCTTCGTGACACTGTACGTATCTATCAGTACTTCACTGTGAATGGATCCGAGATTGAGCTTTTGCATTGCGCCGAGCTGAAGACGTGAGTGCGGACAAAACTGCGGATCTTTGCTGATATAAATTATTTTCAGTATGCATGAAAATTACGTTTTCACAGCAACTACTGGAATTGGATTTCGCATACATTCTCATTCGTATAGACGATACTATAGCACTACAGCGTTCACGATAAGTTTCGATCGTGTGGGACCAGGTAAATCCATATCACGGAGACCAGCTCTCGCTTTAGGTCGTAGCTTAAAAGTATGCAAGAAATGAGGCGCTTCTTTTGGGTATGCTAGGTAAAATTGCAACTCAGAGTTGTACGAACCCTTTTCCATGATATCTTTTTTTTTATTGAAATATCGAATCATAAAGACTTGTAAGGATTAGATCAGTTTTTTGAAAAGAATTTAGCTTATGACAACGCTATTTTTTTTAGATATTACACTTCTTTTGCGAGAAGTTTCTGGACATTCTTATAATATTTTCGGAGATCGTAGCTAACGGCCATTGCCTACAAAAAAGGAAATTTCTGAAGTAGCACCCCTTTCAAAATTCTTTTCCCACCCCGCCTCCTCCCATGCACGAAGAGGTCCTGCGGCAGCCATTTTTCTTGGTTCCTTTCCTCATTTTCAACTTGTTATCCTCGAGCAACTTTTAATGTCGTCAAATTTCATTTAAGCATACCCAACAGAAAACCCGCTCTCCCTCTCTTCCAATAACTTTAAAGTAAAAAAACAAACAAAGTATTTTCTATCATTCTTACACATGTGTAAAAGCAAACACCTCTGAACAAGTGAACCAGATTAGAAGGGAAACTTAGTAATCACGGCATCTGTGAGAGAAATTATTTAGAAGTACAAACATGTCCATATCCCTATCTCGTGGCCTCTCCGAATTTCCAGGAAGTACCGTCTTTTGATCGTCCAGGGCATATGTGTGAGTTCTACCATTTTTAGTACAAAACTCTATTTGCGAGAAATACCAACTCCGTTCAATTTCGGGCATTTCAGGTTGTCCTTTTCGACTTGTATCATCAGTGCCTGGACGCAAATTGTATTTCATCTTCAACCAATTAAAAAGTGTCGTTTTTGATCAGAAAGGAGAGAGTGAGGTCTTTTTTAAGTACGTTTTTCTCTTTATACGTTTGACAAAAATCAAGAGACAAAATTTAGGAGGATAAGCCTATCAGGATCACGCTTAGTCTCTGCAACGGATACTGTAGACTTTTTGCTGACAAGATCTGTCAGTTTCCAGCCGAAGTTCAACATTTCTTATAAGGAATTCATTGAGGACCGTAAGTAATTTGACCAAAGATGAAGCCTTTTGCATACACCCATAATTTCCTTCATAACTAATAAAAAACTAAGTACTAAAAAATTCCCTTCCGTCGAAATAATTGAGGGAATGGCAACATTGGAAAAGAACGGGAGGGGAACTAGGAACACGTCGCAAAATTCTTGGAAGTTAACAAAAGTCGTAGAAATACACTATTTTCCTTCTTTCAATGATTCAATTGATTTCTGCATTTTTTAAAGCTGAATAAGTATTTTAAATCAATTGTAAGGGGCTAAGTTTCCAAGTTAACTGTAGAAGCTCACAGAAAACTTGAAAAGCTTTTTCAAAAATATTTTAGAGGGTTTAAAACAATTCTAGGGACCGCCAATGTTATAAACGCACAATTTTTCGAAATGTTTTATCTTCAAAATCATAGCCATCCTCGCAGTTTCTCGTTCATCCATTTTCCTATATATTCTGTCATTTTTTCAGCGTGTCACTGCGACAGATCGGATGTAATTGTTGGCAATACGCCAGTGTTCGTAACGTCACCAGGATTTCCTGATCTCTACTGCTCTAATTTCCGATGCAGAAAGAAATTTTTGCACAACACAACTCTTCATGACAATATGTCGCCAACATTTGTGGTTACTATACATTACATGAATACTGACAAACAAGATTATCTTGATTTCTTCATCGATGGAATACTTCTGGAAAGGTAAGTGGGTAATCAAAGATAAAGAAGATATTCGGGAGCCGCTTCCACTGACTACCGGTCCTTTTACACATACTACTGTAGTTGATCAAGCAACCAATCAGAGCACGCCCCGCCCTCTGGTCATGCAAAAGATGAACATGCAAAATGGCTGCAGATTGAGGTTCTGCTCCTTTTTGCGCGTATCTACGCAAACAAGGCCCGTTTGAGGAAAAAAGTCAAAGCCCCACCCACACCTGCCTCAAGTCACTATGTCTTGTCAGGACCCAAATTTGCGAAGATTTGATTTATACTTTTTGTCACCGGGCACTATAGGCGGTTCCTCCCCCGCCCCCCTCCCCCTTACCACATTTTTACTCCATTGAACTTTGCTTTGCATTTCAGATTAAATGGAACATACGATGACAGCAAAATTGTCTTGACCGGTGACGCTATGGAGACTGAATTTGTAACAGATCGACTGGTCACCCGTCATGGATTCAACATGAGCGTTGAGTCTGTATGGATGCCTCAAGGTCAGTAAGTCCTCGAGCAAGGATAGCTAGGACCTTTCTAGAAAGTGGAGGACAGATTCCCAGAGGAATTGCGAGCAAGAAAAGCTACTTGATTCCTTATAATCGGCCTTGAACTGACTTAAATGCAAACAAATAATCAAAAAGTTAGATGAGGAGCCAGAAGAGATTTAGCATGCAGCAGCTGTGGAATCAGAATTCTCATAGAAGATTTTCTGTAGCACCAAAAAAACCGAAATTATAGAAAAAACTTCAAATTTGAAGAGATAGTAACATTTCAATTTTGAAGTTTAAAAGATTTTGAAGTTGCTTACATGAGTTAAAAACCTGGGTAAATGACTTGTTCATACTTGTGAATCATTAAAATTTTTGAAATTTTTCAAAAATTCAAATAAGCTTTGCGGAAAAAATTTTTGCCCCTCCCCCCTCCCAGAAGAAATATTTTGAACCGGCACTGCTATCTATCTACAGACTATTCATCGCACGCAAAGACTGGGCGCCACTACGGAAGCTGTCACCCTCTCCTTATCGTACGCTTTTTCATCCCTCTCACCGTCTCTCGTCTCTACCATGTACGAACTCTCTTAGTCGGACACAACGGCGTCCAGTCTGCGCCTGCGATGAATCGCATATATCTTTATTATATCTTGATTTCCTGTTTTCAGAATGTACTTGTCCCCACAAGGGAACAAAAGTGATGCAAACTCAAGGCAACATACAAATGGATATACCACCACACTGTAGGTTAATGTACTGTAAGTGGGATGTACCGAACTCCTACTATGCCTCGGTATGTCTCGTTAAAATTGAATTTGTGACGTTTTGATTATTTTTTCTTTAGCAATTCACATCGACATTCAATTTCACATCGGAATTCGATACGTTGACTGTTGTGACAGGAACAGATGTGCGACGGTGAGTGCATATTGTTGATGGCGCTTTCTGGAAAAAATGTGGAGGCTAAAAATGGGCGTGGCAGGAGCGGCCAAAGTGCGGTTGCCAAAAATATTCTGATGTTGAAAGCGCCAATTTTTTCCGAACAAAACTTCTGAGGTTATCCTGCGAGCTGGCAAGTCAGAATCAAGGCTAACAGTTCTAGAAAAATTATCTCTTTATGGAAAATAGCAGCATATTATAATCACACTTCTCATCCAACCCCCCCCCCCCCCCCTCCCCCACTTTCCCTTCCCTCCCTAGGGTCCGCCTCTACAGTAAAATGATTTTGTAATTCTAGATTCTCAACAATTACCGGAAAACAGCTGAAACGTCACTGGAAACGCGTTGAGCGTACTGATACCGTAATTCTCTTCCAAAGAATGTTACCTGAGAATTATACTCTTGACTCTATCGCATCATTTTCTGTGAAATGGATGGGTACAGATGGTAAGGAATTAGTTGTATCTGAGGACATTGTCCTGGTTGATTTTCGACTTTAATATTGGTTTTTTCCAAACTTTTGTCCCGATTTCAGATAAGAGGTTCAAAAAGCGTAAAAATTTCGAAAACCCCCTTTTTGAAACATTTTCTTGAGAGCATGGACAAGTTCCAGGCGTTATTCTTGTCATCGTGCTTGTCATGTTAAAACGCGTCAATAGGTGATCGCAGATAGGCGGGATCGGCGTTACACCCACTAATGGGGGCGTGGTTAGTAGATGATGAACAACCTGGACAATGCGCCGTTGAGGCATACGTCCAGCTGAAATTAATCCAAATAATTACAGACTGTTCATGCGATGAACTGGAGCCACAAATCCATCAGGCTGTTGTTGGAGAGTGGAAAGAGTTGACATCTCCTGGTTATCCGATACCGTACTGTAGCGACCTAGTTTGTGTAGATAGGATTGTTGCTCCAGCTGGGTTAGTTCATTCTTGGATTTTCTGAATTTTTCTCTACCAGAAATTCTTTTACAGACACCATGTCGTATTGAATATTACGGAATTTTACACGGAACCATACAACGATGTATTGGCGCTATTTGATGGTGAGAACACAACCGGAAAACATATCGATGTGTAAGTAAAGATCATTCTTTCTTTGTCTTTGTACTTTTCAGCAAATCCAGAAGTCGAATGCTTGTATCAAAAATGAAAAAAAAAACAAATAGGGAAGTTTTGAATAGTAAGATTGGTGTTGTTGATTATTTAACTCATTTTAAGGCCTAAACACTTTATGAAGGATAGGCTCAAAATCCACTCATGGGCGAAGGCGGACGGTTCGATGTCACGAAGCAGGTGCAAACGCGGCTGTCGAGCATCTTTTATAGCTGGAGCGCGTGAACAGTGCTCGAGGCCAATAATCTGTGCGACTTATATGCTCATCCGCCTTCGCCTAGAATTAGACTATGATTGGATTTTTCGTGTTTTGACAGCTATCGCACAAAAATTTTCAGATTTCATGGAAAACGTTCATTTCCATATCTCATTCGGAACGAAAATCAAACATTATCTCTAGTCTTCAAAACGGATCACGATGTCTCGTTCGATGGCTTTAGAATGCTGTTCTCAGCTGGTTAGTCATATCAAGGCTCGACTGGAGAATTTTTTAATCAGAGAAAATCAACCTTTTTTATGGCACAATTACTTTTTCTTCTCGTAAACTTTATCTTGATCTCTTTGGTCTGTACACACTTGAAGCTTCATATTTATTCTATTAGGTCGTTTCAAGAGTAATTTCGCTTTTTTCAAACGGACGCCACATTTGATGTAACAAAGGTTTTTAGGAGATCTTGGAAGCATTCGATGCAGCATTTTATCCTCTTTCTAACGGTTATGAAGATGCTGCAAAACAGTCAATGAGCTTTCAGAAAGTAACCAAATTTTGCGACCCATGCTTTTTGAGATGGTCAAGTTTCACGATTTTTTTAAACTTTCATATCAATCCTCAGAAGGAGTTCAAGTAACGATTCGATAGAGTAAACCTTATAGAATACAGTACTACTTTTTTCTCTTTCTCATAGCTCGCCGTAAATTTTTAGAAGATTTTTTAACAAAACCATCGGATTTTGGCAGGCCCACCTCAGCAACAATCGCATCAAACATCATAATTTTTCGGATTTTAAGACTACTAAGATGGTACTGTGAGTTAGCATTAATTTTAAAAAGCAAATGAGGGTTTACGGGTTCGAAATATCAAATTTCGAGTTTTTCGGGTACAGCCTGGGGCTCGCTAAAAAAATGAGTTATGATGATTTTCTCCCCGGAAACTAAACGAATCGGAAACAAAAAACACCCATTAGAAAGAGGAGAAAAAGCTGCATCGAATGACACCCGAGCTACTCACCGTTTGATGTTCTACGAGGATTTAGCTGTCCAAGTATGGAAATCGGTAGCATCAGTTAAAATTCTGTTAAAAATGTATGACAAGCTATGGAAAAGAGAAAAAAGTTACGCCATATCCTAGGTGGTGTGCTCTATCGAATCGTTACTTGAACTCCTTCTGAGGATTGATATGAAAGTTTTAAAAAATCGTGAAACTTGACCATCTCAAAAAGCATGGGTCGCAAAATTTGGTTACTTTCTGAAAGCTCATTGACTGTTTTGCAGCATCTTCATAACCGTTAGAAAGAGGATAAAATGCTGCATCGAATGCTTCCAAGATCTCCTAAAAACCTTGGTTACATCAAATGTGGCGTCCGTTTGAAAAAAGCGAAATTACTTTTGAAACGACCTAATATTTATTTTAATTTGTTTATTTATCCTAAAATTTCTATAATGAATCTTGAATATTCTCTTTTTTCATTATAAGCTACTTTCAGAGCCAAACGATGACTACAGCCCACAGCTAAAGACCCAGATACACGCGTCAACAATTGCTATTTTCGTTCTAGTCCTATTATTAATAGCTGCAAGTGCTGTTGCTTTGTATAGAAGGTATGAAGATAATAAACTTCTGCAAAAGTTAACCAAATGTCATTCTCTTATAGAGTCCCCAATCGATTCGATAATCCATTATACGTGCCCTCAGTAAGCTATTCGGATGACGCGTCTGAGTGAGTTCGTCTTATTTCAAACCCTGTCGTGCGCGGTAAATCTATATCTGAATATTTTATCTCGGTTATTTCCAGCACTGCAACGGAAAGGACTTTCTTTGGATAGACCGCAAACCCCAAACAGTCAGTGGCTCTAACATTCCAGGATATTTTGGTGCTTCACTGCGACTTACAACCTGCCAAGAAAGTTTTTTTGCATTGTCTCGTTTCTTACATCTTCGTTCCCGATAAAATGCGAAAATCTTTGTCTTTAAAGCAAATCTTAGAGTGTTTTCTCTATGTTACAAAAAAAAAATCTCGGACAGTCATAGCGGTCATATCGAGATACCTCGTAGGCTTCCTACGCTGTGCTCCGCAAACCAGTAATCTCATACTTGTAGATTATTAGCGAGTGGGTGGGGCGAGCCAGTGGGCGGAGTAAGCCAGAGGGGAGTCGAACCTGTTCCGGATGATTTCCACTGCTTCTTCAAAGGGCTACACGCCACTTACCAGCTCGCAACAGGCGATTGTAACAGGTAAGGATGCATGGGTCAGATGTGGACATAAGAAGCTAAGACTACGCCGAGAATTTTCGGACACTTTGCGGCTTCCACAGACACTATCTTGGGACAATAACAGCAAATTATTCAACATTTTCATCTATGAAATGTTAACAAACATACAATCAAGTTTGAAAAACAAAGATCAAGCATTTTGTGCTATATGTGCTTATTCAATTACTATCTAAAAATATTCAATAAAAAATGCGTAGAAGAGTGAAATCCAAGTCATAGTTATGCAAATATTGCTAAGGTTGTTATACACAACGCACCTTCAGTGCTAATTGTGTCGCTTTCGCACGAAACCTGCATAAAACAAAATCATGTTCGGCTCAAAATCATGTTCAAAATCTTAGCTAACTATGTACATGCAGAGTAGGATTGCTATGTTGCAGAATTTCATTTGAGGCACTCGCTTAAAAAGTTTGAGTGAACATTTCAAAACCCTACAACAATCCAACTCTACTAAAACCGGTTACAAAGTGGTCAAGACTTTTTTACTATTAAACCAAAAAATAAATGGACTTATGGAGATCAACATACAAAGACAATGAACAAATTGAATATAGCATGTTGGGAAGCCAAAACAACTGGCCAACATGTGCTTAGTACTTACTATAAATTTTGTAAAAAAGCTGGCAAGAGATTCATAAGAAGTCATCAGTAAGTAGACAGATCAATATTTGATCAGAATGAGGAGCTAATTTTACTTGTCGCTATCCAGATTTGCCTGATATTGTGCCATCTGCAAAATAATTATTCAGAGAGAATAGCTGACAAACTGTCTAATAAAAAAGAATAATACAAAGCATAGAGCAATAAGGTCAAAGTAAACCTACTAGCTGAGGGTTATAGGCGGTCAAATCAAATCCCGGTGGCATACCCATATGACTGAGATCTTGACCGGGTAGCATGCCTTGGTAAGGATTGAGCATTGATGATGAACCAGCTAACATACCATAGTTCGCCGTAGGAAGCCCTGGAACTACAAATGTTGATATAAACTCTTGCAATCACATAACTGTTAGATTTCAAAAAATGAAGTTGGGTCGAAAACCCAAAAAATGAGAACATCCTAATTCGTCAAATTGAGCCCTTTCCAGACATAATGCTTAAAATACACTTACAGGCATCGTCCAGGCAAATCTGGACATACGGGGATCTCACGTGGACAGTAATTCTGGGGCCCTAACTAAGCCACTGCCCAAGCAGCACCTCAGGTAGTGCTCTAACGGATGGGATATTCGCCTCCAAACTGGACCCTAGGATCGTTAACGCATGGATTCATGGCGCGACACACCAGTTTTTCGCGTGGGTCCTCACCCGAAAGCATGCAAACACGATGCAAGTCGTTCGATAGTACGGTCATATCTCAGCCCTTAGTGAATAATTTGCGCTGCCGCTTGGGCCGCTCCTTAGCTAGGATCCCAAAATTACTATCCACGTACCCCACAGGTTCTGACTTGCCTGGACGCTGTCTTTAAGACTTTATGCAAACTAGCTTATGTCCAAAGTTCTTACTGTATGAATTGGTATTACAGCGTGCAAATCATCAAGTTTCTTGTTCCAAGCAGAAAAAAAAGAGAACAGAGTTGTAAAAAAAAGGATTTCATTCCCCCGCTTACCTCCAAGTCCATGTGCGGCTGCTTTCTTTGCTGCATACATATTTGCCTCTTCTTGCGCTTTGGCGATATTCTTCTTATAACGAATACGTTTGTTGCCAAACCAGTTCGATACCTATAAATCAGTCTATCTCTCACCTGCTTAGGCAACAATTCTCTCGTGTGATGAACACAAAAACGACAATTCTTCGAGAAGGGTTTTTGATGGCGAGTCGTTAAACCAAAAAAAAAATACTGTGAAAATGAATAATAGAGATGTTTGGCTCTTTCAAATGATTAGACAACTTGAGAAGGAGGACAGAACATCAACCACGCAAGTAATTCAACGAGTATACCCAAAAAGGCTTTTAGAAGAGTGAAAAATTGTCTTTTTCGTTCACCTTAACTGAGATTATTTCTCAACAAATCTTCACATTCCAAAAGACGTTAGGTAATAAAAAGCACTGCTGTAGAATCTACTAATAGAACTAATGTCACAAATTTAATAGGGTGTCCCAAAAGTATGTACACACTTTTCAGTCATTAGTATCTCTTTTCTCACAAAGTCGTTTGCTACCTTCAGGTACCACTCAGTAAAGTAGATCAACTTGTTTTACATGAGATAGGCCGTTGGAAAAAAAATCTGGAAAATCGTGTATCAGTGTTTTCATACTAGCTGATTTTAACAACTTCTTACGCTTCTTAAGCCAAATTGTTGGATCACATTTTTCCGAACATTGAAGATACGCTGTTATGATTTACCTGGAATTACTTATAGAAAAGGATTACAGTAGCCTGTTTAATACTCATAATCATCACCTCAGTTCAGCATGAAGATAAAGTTTTTAGCTTATCGAGTACCCATTCTTGAGCAGTGTAGTCACTCACTGAAGGCTCAAAACCTCTACAAAGTTCCCACTTCAATTCTAGAGCGATGAATGATTCGCTCTACCTTTTAGAACCAAGTTGAAGCCTGCTCTACTGATTGGTTCATAAAAGCAAAAAACGCTTGATTGGAAGAGAGTTACTAATGACAAGTAGTGTGTACTATTTTTGGGACACCTTGTACATTAGGAGAAGACTATGCGAGTCGCATTTTTTCGCGAAAGAAGATGTAGCGTGCTAAAGAGAATAATTTCACTCCCTTCTCACTTCCCAACTCTCTAAGCAGTTATTACACCAAAGAAAACAAGATCAAAGTCCTACCAAATTCTTCACATCACACAGAAAAATTCACGCTGTACAACCACAAGGAAAATAAATCAAAACAAAAACAAATGGAAACCACAGAAGTTACCCACTTGAGACACTGTAATATTACACTGCCGTGCAAGTTCTTCTTTTGCCTCTTCGGACGGGTATGGGTTGCTCAGATGCGAATAAAAGTATTCATTCAACACCTCGGTCGCTTGTTTCGAAAAGTTACGACGTTTACGTCTGAAGAGACATGGATCAGTACTTTATACTTGGCAAGATTTCAGAGAAAAGGGAATGCAAACCTCGCATCTAGGAAACGGCTTCTCAAGATCATTACAGCTTCGCATGTGGACTGCTTGAGCTGTACTTGAATGCCGCTGAATTTCTTTTGAATGATAGACACCATTCTTTCAATTTCCTGAATTTTTACAAAATAAAAAAACATCATAAAGAACAATTCCGACAAAATATTGCCAAAACGCCACAGAAAAAATTTCGAATGCTTACCTTCTGACTAATCGGCCGAACCCGAGATTGATCTTTCAATAATGACATGACGTGTTGGGTAAATTCAGAACAAGCCTGAAAAATAATCATAATTAAGTCACCGTCCCATAAGGCTTATTTGCTTCCCACCTCTTCATACTTCTGCAATTCCTGATTATAAACAAGTCGAATCTGTCCGAGTTTCTGGCGATAATCTGCCTGATCACCACCGGATGCATCACCTGACAGCGGTGCACCCTTGTCCGGTCCAGCAACACCTTCTGCTACCTGGGAAAATTTATGATCCATGTGAGTTTAGGGCATAAAAAATTGTTCAATGAGCGATGAATGGTTGCCTGATGTGAGATAATGCAACAATGAACGATATAGGCTATATCAGAAAATCTTTGTTGAGATGAATCTGACAAAAATCTTACCAGCATATTGTCCAATCGCATCAGCTGTGGGTCTTCTGGTTGATCGTCATTGCCTGTACGAATTTGAAGCGCTGAACAGAAATCGTCAGAATAGGCTAGGACTTTGAAAAAAAGACAAGCTAACACAAAATTCAACCACAAATGTACAAAAACATACCTGTCTTTTCTTTAACTTCGCACAAAACATCGAATAAGGCTTGTCGCATCGGATGGCATTGCAAGGCATGTTTTCTGAAAACAGAGCAATGCGTGTAATTATTCGGCGTTTGTCTCTGTTCATATTGCTGCATTACATAGGCCTAGTTTTTATTTATTTCAAAACATGAACTGCCAAAATTCGGAAGGAGGGAGGGTAGGCGAAGAGTTGCTGACGTGCACCGCGCAAAAGACCATAATAAATCCGTGACGGAGTTTTCGTGAACAGAGTAAGCGAGGGGCTGCAAATATAAGACGAGGTAGGGAGCAATTTTTCTTGCTTACAGTTTTTGGGAGGGGGGGGGGTACGTTACAGTTCACGAGTCATGAAGAAAATTCACTAGATAAGCCATATCGCAACCCCTCAAAATAATTCACAGGGTGATTCTATAGTGGTCTCAGGCAAACACGCACCATACTCATAGTCATGAATTCACGCTTAATTAGGAATCTATAACGTCTTAGACTTTGAGATTTTGAGTAGGGATTGTTGCTAATTCCCCTATGAATGTCAAAATCAGCCTAACTTCGAGTTGGCTATCATATGATGTATGTAATCAAAAAAAAAATGAGGGATGAAGGCATAAAGATTATAAGCTGACAACAAAATAACTTCCAAATCCTTCTATCTAACATGATTATACTAGATAAGAAGCCATACTGAAAACTTACAAGAAACATTGTTAAAGTCAGCGATATACACAGTCATTTTAGCCGGAAAACCCCATGAATTACCGATGACATCTGTTCCCTGTTTACTACAGTGTAAATCTTTTGTGAAAACTTTATGACATCGTCACAAGTCAGCGCTTAGTGTAATAATGGGTTGAAAAACATTGGAAGCATACATGTGAATGGATACATGTGAAAGACAACTTGTACAAAGCCACTTACTTTACATTATCGTTATCTTCGAGTGTTTGCTCGGATATTTTCATGAGTTCTTGTAGCAAATCATTCAACGAACTTGGGCTTGGGTCCATCGTGCCCACCATACCTATAAATATAACTAAAATAATATCAATAGTAAATGAAGAAATAAAAAAACGCGAAAAAAAACGAAAATGTACGAACGAAGGGTTTGATTGTCCAGACTGGGATTCAAATCATGTGCGAGAGAATTTACAAATAATAGCTTAACGATCGTAGGATGGGGAAGCTTCATAAGCATCTGGGAAACGGAATGCAACAGGTGTGCACCAGCTATGCGTTCTTCAAGAAAAAAAGGTGGCTGAACTACGTCCACCGAGCAATATTTGCGTCATCCATCATCAACTATAAGTCAGTTATTTCGATTCATCAGCGAAACTTTGCCAGCTACTATCGTAAACATTAAAACATTACAAACTTGTCATGTGGAACATATCAGCCAAAAGTAAAAGAAAGAAATGAATGTCACAAGCATAGTAGGAAATGTGAAAAAGTTCGTCGGTGTTCTGCTGAGATTATAAGAAATTTTAGAACTCCTCTGCTTTTGGTTCAGGAACGCTAAACAGCATGTATACTAGCTTGGAATCTGTCACGAAATCGTCCCTAGGCACATCAAGACTGATTGAAAAGGCACCAGAGAATCCCCTGAGATCGCAGAAAAAGCCCAGAATTGTTGTTATCATGGTAGAGAGAAAAAATACCTTATACAAGATGGTAAATCTGTGCAAAAGGACTTCATGACAGAAAATTGTGCGTCAAACAAAAAATAACTGCATTTCCTCTTATTCTGAAGGTTCGGCTTCTGGATGCCAGATTTTCCAAGTACATTTCTGGTATTCTGACGTATAAGCACTTCCTCTATAGACCATTCCGAAACAGAAATGATACCCGATATATGGCCTATCACGGAAGAAAAATACGACCAAATTCGATAATACCATGGAAATAGAAGCTGTGAATTGACCTGCAGCTTCAGAAAAATTCAACAGTATATCAGGAGAAAAACGCAACTTATCTCAATCCCAACAAAAGCAGCAAATACGTCAAGAAAAGACTAAACCACATGTCTATACACTTTCAATAAAGCAAGGTATGAAATATAGACAATTAAAGAGGCAGTAAAAATACCGAAAAGTATTCCCTAATCTTCAAGATTGTTTCATTCCAGTCTGTCATATTTATGCTGCTGCCAGATCATTTTTGAACACGTGTTAAGAATCATAATTCAGAAAAGCGTGACACAAGATGAAGATATAAGAAAAAAATGTGAGAATTCAAAACTCTAAACATATAATCTGGGAAAAATTAGTTCATACATTAGATAATTAACTCAGCCCTGAAATATGACGTCAAAAAGGAGAGCACATAACGTTTACCCCAAAAACTAAACTGCAGTAAATCGGAAAAATCAAGAAAATTTGAAAAAGTCACCTTGGGGAAGTGACATATTCTTGAAAGTACAACCAACAGGTTTTTTCTTTAATTTCACCGAAGAGAAAAGATTGCAATAATTGAAGATCTGCCAAAAAAACTTTCAAGAATGTGGATCGAAGATGCGACAAATTTTTTCCGAAAATGTGAATTACTTCTGATTATTTCCGCATTTACGACGCAATGAATTTCCGACATCGACTACAGCTAATGGCCGTAACGATCACAGTAACGATTGCTAATGCTTTGTTTGAAGATAAGAAAGCCCTCTAAAGCACACAAAACTCTTAGAATCCACATGCGTTGCGTTGCGTACGAAAAGCTCATAAGAAGAAAGCACAAAGCGCGCAAATCCGGTTGAGATTTTGACGCTCGATAAGGACGACCGCTTTTTTACGCAGTCACAAATTCTTCTTCCTCTGCAATGGAAAAAGTTGCAGCCCCCGTTATGAGGCAGAACAGAGCCTGATTGTAGAAATTTTCAGAGGATGCAGATAAATGCCACACATTCTGGTATAGCATAGAGAAAACAGAACAAATATCAAGTCTGGTTTCTGCTCTAGCTTCCACTTATTTAAAAACTCCTACATTGCGTACCGCGTACGCATATAGTCGAGTCATTTCATTTGATCATGTGTGTCATTGCACACAATGCCCACTTTCGGTGTCCCCACCCCAAATTCTAGGAGCAGCTCCTACAGGAACATGTTTTCCGTATTTTCTCTAAGTTTTCTTTTTAGGTACCAAACTCCACAAAGTGATGTTGATGACATAGGTCAGCTATTTGTGACTGTAAATCCAGGATCAAGGCGCCAAATACGGACATTGTGTGCAATACACACATGATCATACAAAACGACTCAACTTTACCCTTACTGAACATCCAACGGCCTGCTTCGATAGGGAGGTATGGGAAACTATTTTCCTTACTTTGACACAATTTTCCTGGTGAAGATGCAATTTGGATCGAAAAAGAAAAAAAATTTAGAAAGATTTGAAAACAATGCCTCTTTCTTGATTATCGAATCGCCTTCAAGTGAGCTTCCGAAACGTTAACAAAATGCCCATCGTGAAAATGTGAATAGCTAGATCTAGATAATTGCATACTTTGTTGAGACCGTGCAGCATGAAACTACGCTGACGTAACAAAAAACTTGATTGCGCAAAATCTCACACATACTTTTCCGATCCAAAACTGTCTCGAGACAGTTGCTAATCTTGATCGTCCACTCTCCTCTTCTTCCAGTATTCAAAGATGCAGACTCTCATCTTTTGATGTTAACATGAACAGCTAAGATTTTCAATTAGCTAGAGAATCTCGTGGTGGCAGAGCATGTAATTTCGAGCAAAAAGCAAAAATCAGACAACTTTTGTGTTTGTTGGAGATAACAATTGAGTATGTAATCCTAGCTATTTCTAACAATTAAAGTTTTGCAGTATTTTGAATAGATTCATTGTTATAAAAATTTCCCACTAGTTTTGATCGGATTTTTGATGCTGAGCATTCCTAGATTGCGGAGCAAAAAAAGAACTATAGCAATCATCATATGGTAGGGAATGACATGATGCTGAGATTACTCTTATACTTACATCTAGTCAAAAAAAAATATTTCAAATATTTGACGATGATTTTTTGAGCAGCAAAGCGTATTGCACATTTTGCCGTACAATTATCGATGTGATTTAAGCGAACAGGGTTGAAAAAAAATTTTGGTATTTCCACAATCAAAATGATATCAAACACAAAAGATATGAAGGACTTGCTGCTTGAACTCTGCAATTAATATTCCAACATTGAGAATACACTTATTTCTCAACAAGATGAAAATAAGAAACGCAAAGAAACCTCTGTACTCTACAAGTGATGGTCACTAACATAGAATTAATTATAAACTTACCAACGAGATAAGTGAGAAGAATAAAGACACAAAGAAGGTAATAAATATTCTGAGCTCAATCAGCAGTAAACTAAGAAAAGCGAAAATAAGACAGTAAAAGTGTTTCGCTGTCAAGTCACGAAAAAACGCAGGAAAAAAAGACGTACACTTTGAAATTTCTGGGACTTTTTGGCATGGGCATGATGTCACTATTTTGTGAGAGGCTAGCAAGGAGAAAGTCTGCAATTCTAATTACAATATCAGCAAGAGATAAGCAGGTTTGAACGCAATTTCAAAGCAGTAAAAGCGAGTTTATTTGGACAGGCGACTACACAGAAGGTCCACACGTGTATGACAACAAAACATCTTAATATCATGGCAATCATAAGATATGTGACAGGCATAAAAATTGCCGCCAAAGACATTACGGCCATACTTAAAAATTCGAAAAAAGATAGTCTCGAAGGTGATGAGTAATTAACACAACAGAACGAATTTAGGTGTCGGGCATTCCCTTCTACTTATAAATTGTCCAGTTTGAACAAATCAGACCTAAAGTTATGAACTGGCAAAAAAAGCTGAAAAATCTGAGTTGACTGCTAGAATCCAGCCATCAAAGAATCTTTTGCTGGCGTAAATATTGCGATTAAGAAGTTGAATTCTGCAAAATGCTTTAATCTTCCACAGTATACAAGTTGTCCACTCTAGCATAATAACATTTTAACTTGCTCTTTCAAGTCCTGAAAAGACCTTTTGCAGAAATAGTGGACAGAATTTTGCTGTTCACTACAGTTGAAAAAGCTTACGGGAAACCTTTACGCTCAAGTGTTAAGGATAAACAAAATGTTTCTGAAGAAAACCAAGTGAAATTGACACTGTTAGTACCGAAACCACTAACAAATCAATGTAACGATTCGATACAAATCAAGGAGGCGAAACGAAACACATCACAATCGATCAAATGAAAGTTGATTAAACAAACGCGATGAATGAATGAATGTCTGTTTGTCATCTGGGGAACGTATCGACAATTTCAATGAATTAGTTCGGGAACGATAAGACTGGTCGGAAGTATTTGTAATGGGCATTAAAATCGACAAAATGTGGTCGTCATGAGAATTATCGGTGTCGTTAAATCGTTAAATCGTTCGGGGAGGTGAATCTATACATCAAATATGGAGAATCTGTAGGGTAAGGAATGATAAACTGCAAAGGAGCAAAGTTTTTAGGAATGTTTATGCTTGTTTACGAGGAAAAATGCAGAAAGTTGCAGGGAGAATGTAGCACGAAAGCACGTGAAAGCCAACGCATCGATCAATATCAATCAATGGCGGTCAAAGTAGATTAGACCGGGCCCGTGTGTATTGCGGTTAGAGGTGTAGGTCGCGCGGATAATGGCGGATTGCCGTCACATCTGCGCTCGCGCTCCGCGCTAAGGTCATCGATTAGCGGCCGCGCCGCCGCTGACGCGCAACGCGTGCGCTCTTCGGCTGACAATAACTCATCCGCGAGTCGAGTGTGAGAATATACGACCGTACTAATCGTATGTCAACGATACGCTACGAGTGTTGCGAATCCTGCAACGATGGGAGACACCCCGAAACGGCTAGAAAATGGAAATAAGCGTTATGGGGAGAATGTGTGGCGTCTCTGTGTTGGTGATGATGTCGCGCGTTCGCCTATCTACGCCGATCATCAATCTTCCAGCAGTGACAGGTTGGACGGGGGGATGCACGGGGTGCACGATGCGGGGTTGGAAGGAGGTGGTGGAGGACAATGCATACATGGACTGGAAGCAGATGGTCCTACAAAGGAGATCGGGGAAAAGTGGCAGCAAATATAGGGAGGGAAGGGTCAAAGGACCATACAGTCTAGCAGTTAAAGGAGATGGAAAGGGCAAAATATTTACATTTCAAAAATCAATTCAGAAATGGTACGGATAAAACGCGCAAGTACCGGCCACGTTCTTTTTACTGTATTGAAATGTATGAGGTGAAACGGGAATTTCTCGCCAATTTTTTCTGCAATAAAGAA